AGTCATGGCATCTCCCTGAATGTGCTGTTGAGCCACACCAGGAAACCCACAACTTTTAAAAGCAGATGAAAGAAGAAGTCAGAACACATACATGGGGAGGAACCATGTTCACCAGTTCCCACAGGTCCTACCAAGCTGGTGGCGCCACTGCGAGCCAAGCATGCTCTTCCCCAGCAGGAACTGTTGCCTAGGCTGTGCACTTTCCTTGGCTGCCAGCACAGGTGGTCTGAGCCGTTCTGGAATGTATGATCATTTGTCTTTTTTTTACTACTTTGGTTTTATGGGGACCCAGGGGTCTGTTAAATATTATGGAAGTGTAGACTGTGTCTAAATCCGTTCCTCATGGCCCAATCTCTCTTCGCAGAGGCACGGCTGGTTCATTCATGGCTATGTGCACCTTCTGTAGTGTACACTGTCTCTTGTTCTTTGCCTGCTGACCTCTGTGGCTCTGCATCCATGTAGCAGTCTGGCGCTAGCCCTAGAAATCCTACTTAATCCTTGTTGCTCTATTTGATCCCTATTTGGGATGTTAGAAGTAGCATTTTCTGGGCAGCCAGCAGGCAGCCAGTCTTCCTCCTTAGCTTGTGTTGGTTTGTTCCTAGCTAAAGAGTCATTTTGTGGCTGGGATGGGCAGGACAGCACAGGAAGCCTTTGATCTTTGGGGACATGGAGAGGGAGGGCTGTGGGACCAGTCTTCACTAGGTGGCCATCAACCCACAGTTTGGGCACATGTCTAGAGACCAGGTAAGTTTTAAAACTAGAATCCACATGCTTGCTACCCTGGTGGAAGTTTGGGAAAGATTTTTAAAATGTGCATTTTTCAAGCTGTTTTTCTTAAAGTTTTTAAAGGACTGTTTTTAATAGCATTTTGATATAAGGCAGTTTGGAACGTCAACACCTATATGCATTAAAGGGGATGGCACAGGGAAACCCTAAGGGAACAGTATTTGTTTTCTCACAAAGCCAAAGGGTCCTGAGGGACAGAGACCTGGGCTGGGGGCTGCATCACCAGCAATAAAGGCCAAACATGCTGTTTCACATGCCTGTGTCTCTGTGGGCCCAACAGGCTACACATGGCAATGTTGATCAGGTTGGGAGGGTCCCGAAACAGACAAGACAGATCGCATCAGCTTGACCCCACCGTGCCTCTGGAGCCTCGTCCCACACACACAGCATCTCCACAGACTGACAGAGAGGCACTCTGTGGGTGGATGTTGCTGAAGGACACAACCATGCATCCCGGTGCCGCATTTCTCTTTGTCCTCGTTGGGAAGTTCACTATTCATCTAGAAGATATGATAACAGCCTTGGTTGTCACAGAAATGGAGGATAAAAAAAAATGACTTTGGACACAGCGATTAGGCTGCACTGAGCTTGTTCTTAACGTGGATTTGTAACTTAATGTTTCTGTTTATAAGATACTAACGATTTGCAATGTATTTTATCGGGCGATTAAAACAGATGTTTTATTCTTTCTGAGGAGTGGTTTGGATTTCCAGAGGGGCCTCGCATGAAGGGAACAGTGTACAAGAGGTTCCCTACAGGGAGGGTGGCAGATAAAGGTAGATAGCATCCCTATCGGACCAGACAGGTGGTGTCTCTGGTGACAGGTGGCATTTCTGATAGGATATGATGTCTCTGACATATGGTGTCCCTTATGACTCTGTGAGAGCCTGGCTTTTTGGTACCCTCAAAAAGGGTATGGTGTTAGGCACTGCTGGTAGGTCCTATGTAGTTGAAGACAGAGGAGGAGGGGACAGATTCCTCCCATGTCTTCAAGGACATGGTGGCCTGAGGTCATAGCAGTGTGTGGAACAGACAAGCAGATGCTGGGGGGGGGGCACCTCTCCTGGAGACCTAGAGAATGAAGTGGGCACAACATGGAGGCCCCTCTCTAGAACCGAGGGACACCACTGTGGCACCTAACCCCCTTATCCCTCTCCTGTCTGTTTGACTCTCACTTCTTTTTCTTTAATTCCATTGGGATTCTGAACCATTATAAGAAAAGCCCGGAGTTTGGCTTTGAGAGAACTGAGTTAGACATTACTCTGGGGACTTTCTGGGGTCAAGAACTCAGGCCAAAAGGCTTCCCAGGTCAGGGTGAGACTGTCAGGGCTTGCTGGTCAGCCTCCTCTGGCCACAGAAGAGTGTGGAGTAGAGCAAGGAAGGCCCAAAGTCCCTCCATAGCTCTGCTCCTTGGCCTCTTGTCTGCCAGTGAACTCCTAGGAACAAGTGGGGAGTGTCTGCTGCCCTGGCCACATGCATTTTTCAGCCTGGACCAGCTGGAAGCAAAGTATCCGTAAAGAATTGGGCAATACCAAGACAAATGACTCATCTCATATTCCAGCATGCCTAATCAGAACTCGGCTCAAACTGGAACATGTCTATCTAGGGCCCAGTTCATACTTGGTTATGCCTCGTCAGGGCTCAGCTCATACTGGAACATGTCTAACTAGAACTCAGCTCACATTGAGGAAAGCCCAGTTAAGACTCAGTTTACTCTGGTGTATGCCTAGCTAGGGCCCAGCTTACACTCCAGCATGCCTAGTTAGGATTCAGCTCATTGGGGTGGGGAGCAGGTTCACCATTGATCATGTCAGTTAAATGTCAACCCAGGGATAACTAGTGGACCAGGAATAGACCAGTCCCTATACGGAGGATATACAGAAAATGAAACACCAGAGTACACAGGGGCCCAAAGCCCCTCCATACTCTGATGGAGACCTCAGTCATGTCTGTATGCTTTTCTTCCAGGCCTGTTAGTCACTGTAGAAGGCAGTCACCATGAACAACCTCCAGACTTCCTTCTTGAGCTCCAACCATCAAAGCATCTAGAGTGGGGTAGGGTTGCCACCAACGCTGGGGATGCTAGGTCTCTACACTGGTCACTGGATCGGGTGACCTGCAGCATCCCATATGTGAGATGCTGGGATGGGAGAAAGGGATGTCTGTGAGGAGAGACCTGCCTGCATGGTTGAACTGGCTGTCAGGAGCTGTATGCTCTGAGGTCACTTGAAAAGCCGGTGGCTGCAGATAGAAACCTCAGTGAACATCTTCCATGTAGCAAGAAGAGGGGAGCTTTGTCTGCCCTGAGGGTGGAATGAGGGACTTTCCATGCAGACCTCGTTGACTCAGCCCTTGCTGTCCTCCCTCTTTGACCCCACACAAAGCCATTCATACCACTCTTCTCCATCCAGCTAGCAGAAAAAGTTATTTTGTTACTTCTGGCTTCATTCTTTATGGGGCCTTGTCTTAGTTTGCTTCCATTACTGTGATAAACACCATGGCCAAGAACAACTTGGGGAGGAAAGGAATTGGGTTTATACATCCTGATCACACCCAATCACTGGGAAGGCAGGGCATTATCCTGACCACAGTCAATCACTGGGAAGGCAGAGCAGAACCAATCATTGGGAGAGCAGGGCATAATCCTGATGATAGCCAGTCACTGGGAAGGCAGGGCAGAACCAATCATTGGGAAGGCAGGGCAGAACCAATCGTTGGGAAGGCAGGGCAGAACCAATCATTGGAAAGGCAGGGCAGAACCAATCATTGGGAGGGCAGGGCAGAACCAATCATTGGGAAGGCAGGGAAGAAACTCAAGACCAGGACCCTCTGAAGAAAGCTGCTGAGTGGGGACTGCATGGAAGAGAAGGATTTGCCAATCCCTTTGTAGCCCAGACAATGTGAGTCCTAGACATCAGACACTAAGCTGTTTAATTTTGGTTTTGCTTAGTATGAATTGTGACTTCCCTGGTTCTTCCCTCTTGGAATAAGAAAATACCTAAGTTATTTACTTTACACAAGCCCACAGTTGAGCGTTTGTGTTTTTAAAGAGATGTTGCATTTTTTGAAGAGAACTTAAACTTTTAGATTGTTGGAATTATTAAAAGACTGTGGTATATTTAAAAGCTAAACCGTGTTTTGTGTTGTGATGTTAATATTAGCATGACATCTTGGGGAGAAACAACAAAGTTTATGGTTTGATATGACGTGATTGTGTGTCAAGTTGACAAAAACTAACCAGCGCAGGTCCCGTGACAGGAGAATAAATTCTTATAAATTTCTTTCTGATGAATTTACCTTGAGCCAATTTAATTCTCAGGCCCCTCCCCCATCCTCCCATCATCGTAGCTATAGATAGATGGCTGTGTAATTGAACAGTGAACCAGGGATCTTCTGTTAGGCTGTGTTAGGTCAAGCTGTGCCCCCAGCATCATATGCAGATGACCTAACACCAGAAACTCAGGTGTGACTGTGCTTGAGAAGGAGGTCTTGGAAAGTTATGGAACTGAAATAGGGTCACTAGCATGAATCTAAGTTCCTAGAAAGAATGACACCTTATGTTGAACATCTGCAAAGCTGATTAATTGATAAGAACCTCAGTGATTGTGGAGAGGTTGGAATGTTTATCTTCGGCTATATTTAGCCACCTTGCCTACCCCATGTCTGACCTAACAAGTACAACCCTTTGGAACCCATTCACAAAACTCTAGTTTCCCCAACCAAAAGGCTATGGATGCCACCAGAGAATAGTCAAGACCTAGAACTGAGAGTTCCTGTGTTTTTTAGCCATCTTTGATATTTCCACCAATGTACTTGAAAAGTGCCTTTATTTATGACTTTCTTTGTCCTGCTAAAAACTTCCGGAAGCTGAAGATAGCTTGGTGTGAAAGAGCACATCTTGCTCTTAGAGTTCAGTTCCCACTCAAATTAGATGGGTCACAACTGCCTGTAACTCCAGCTCCAGGGGGCCCAACACTTTCTTCTGGACAATACCAGACCTGCACTCATGTGTGCACATGCAGGCCCCAGGTTCAGGTCCCAGCACCCACACAGGTCACTCACAACACCTGTAATTCTAGTTTCAATGAATCCAATGCCCTCTTTGGTTTCTCACTCATTTGATGCAGAGAGGCAAGCAGGTACATGCATACACACACACACACACACACACACACACACACACACACACACACACACACACTTTAAAAGAAAAACTTTTTAACTGTTACCATGTTGGGGCATGGAGTTGGGGCACCATTAATGTCACTTGTATTTAGCTCCAGAATAAACTTTTATCCCCTTTGAGGGGATAGTTGTATGTGATGTTGACAGTAGGGGGAGCCCCAATCCAGTGTGCTTGGTGTCTTCATAGCAGAGATGAAAACACAGATTGGGGGACAACCTCTTGAAGATGACATTTGTAGACCTTGAGAGGAGCTACAAGGAGCCACCCCTTCCTCTCCTTGATCTTACCCTCTAGTCTTCAATTGGAAGACATTTTTCCAATTGAAGCCACACAGGCTGTGGTCCTGTATAGGCAGATGTTTATGTCAGTGTAATTTAAATCACCAAAATGTCTTCCATCAAGCCCTCCTCTCAGTTGTGAGCTCTGAGCCAGTGGCCTGGATGTAGATCTGATCACACTGTCCCAGGGCCCTTCATTTTCCTGACTTTGCTTCCCACCATCCTCATCTCTCAAGAAAAAGAAAGATTCTCCAATGGAAGAAAGCAGGGAGTCAGGAACACACATTTGTGAAGCATTGTCTTCCGGAAGGTGAAGAATCTGGAAGTACAGGAAAGCAGCGGACCAGAAGCCATGCAAAAAACCTGCAGGGATCTCTGGGACAGTCCTCAACAACATTCAGCTTTAACCTGTGATGTCACAGCAGCACCATAGCAACGGGGACTGAGCATACTCTGGACCACTTTGCTGGAGGAGAGATAGGGAGAGAGGTTAGCAGAGATGCCTTTGGTCTGAGGCTGCACTGGTGGCTCCCCTTTCCCTCTGGGTCAGGATGGAAAAGGATCCCACCACTCACAGGAGGCACCGGCCTGGTCCTGGAGCCCTGCCCTCAGGAGTAGTCCCTGGATACCTCAAGGTAGCCAGTGAGGGGGCTGAACTCCAGAGGAGCAGGAGTGTGGGTGGCTTGCACCAGAAGGGCGATCCACCGGTCTGCATCAGGAAGCTACTACGCAAGGAGCTAGGTAGGGGTGGCCCTCTCCTGGTGGGCTGGGAGGGCCGGCCAGACCTGGCCCAACCTCAAGAAAGTAGAATTCTTGGACATCTGAACATGGACAATTTGCACATCATGCAAGGCACATTTCCTATAAGGAGAAGTAGCGGGCTTCTAACTCCAGAACTGCACCGAGGAATGGAAAGCCTATCTTTCTCTTGACTGTTCTTTGCTAAGTGCACTTCACAGGAAGAATTGGGGCTAGAAGATTCTCCTAATAGTTGGCATCTTCTAAAACACAGGTGCATGTATGTGTGTGTGCTCAGGTGGGGCTGACAGATCTTCCTCTATGGTTTTTTATGTGTGTGGGTGTTTTGCCAGCATGTATGCCTGTGCACACCATGTACATGCAGCGCTGTGGAGACCAGAAGAGAGCACTGAATCCCCTGGAATTGGAATTAGAGTTATGAGCCCCCATGTGAGTGCTGGGAATCGAACCCTGGACCTCTAGAAGAGCAGCCAGTGCTTTTAATAGCATTGCTCCTTCTAGTCCACTTTTAAATCCTTCTGGGGTTATTTAAATCAGCAGGAGGCCTGACATTGAGCTCTTCTCCTCTCTCATTCAGACCCTTTGGACTCTTATCTGAGACTGAGACGGGACTGAAACCTGCCTAGAACTGCTAAGGCCTGATCTACCATGCAAAGCTTTTGTACACACACACACACACACACACACACACACACACACACACACCAGCAAGGTCTCAATCTCCTGCTTCTCTCTGTTGACTGCAGGCAACAGAGGAACAAGCATGAGGTCCTCTGAGAAGGGGGACACATGACAGGCCAAGGGCAGGTGTGTTGAGAACAGGAGTGGACAGGCTTCCCTATGGGAAGGAGGCAGCTTGGAAGCACCTAGCATCTCTATGAAGGACAGCACTGGGGTGGGGGACTGGAATGGATGGAAAGAGAAGAGGACTGATTGGTGAGGAAGTGTCTCCTGCACTGGCATCAACTAGCCTGGACGCTAACCCCAAGGAAAGGGTTAGCCAGTTCTGTTAGGAACCATCCAGAACACGGCAGCCCCAGCCCAGTCTCTAGGCTTGGGTTTTTTTGTTTGTTTGTTTGTTTTTTTACCAGAAGTCTTCTTTAACATTGTGGGATTCAGATATGTCACTGTGGGGATCACATAACACCGGGCATCATGCTGAGGTCTGGCCCCCATGGCAGCACTGGAGGAAGAGTCCAGAACGAGGCCTCGATGTAGTCATCTGTGCATGACTCTTCCCATTTGATGCTGCCAGATCCCTGGAAGCTGAGGGGAGGAAGTTACATGCAGGAGGAGTATGTCAGAGGAAAGCTCACAGACCAACTAATGTCTCCTGAGATCACTTGGCATGGTTGCCTACAGTCATTGCCCTGAAGCTAGGGAATGCATGTTTCATGGCTACTCGTTAGGGTCCCCTCAGCCTTGAGCACTTTCAAGGTACCTCTTGCCCCACGGGATAGATGATAATTAAGATCACCTTAGTGATGGCCCTCAGACTTAGGAGGCATCAGTGGCCAGGATATTCCTGAACAAGCCACCCCATCTCCATCTAGTGGGCATCTTATGAGGGTCCCTTTTCCTTGTCGTCCTGCTCTGCCACTCCAGCAATCTGTGCTGGGATGAGGAAGATTTGGGGACCATAGGTGTGTTCCAGGAGGCCATGGATGCCCAGCCTGGGTCACAGAAGCAGAATAATAGAGCAAAGGGTGGGCTTTTACAGCTATTCATGAAGTAGGCTCAGAGCTCTTGCCTGGGCATGGAAGGTGCTTAGGCTAGGAAGAAAATGGAAGTGTTGTTGGAGCATGGCCAAAGAAACAGATGAGGAAGGGAATTCTTTTTAGCCATGGCTGTTGAACCTCAGGCTGGCCTGGTGCCTGCCCTGAGAGGTGTGCCAGGTACGACAGTGAACCAGTGAGGTAGGGAACTATGAGGAAGCCTAGGTTCAGGAGCTGTCATACCTTGGAATGCTCATTTACTAACCAACTGCCCTTGTCCTCAGACTCTGAGGACCAAGGTAAAGATCCACGAAGTGACACCAATGATACCACCTGGTAAGTGGAAGACACTTTCTTCTGAAATGTGAGGACTGAGGTAGTGGGGGGCAGGGATGGAACCCTCCCTCAGGGTTAGGACTTGGGAAGAGTCCTTTTGGTAGGGGTTGGTTGGGATGGCTGAAGATCCTTTTTAACCCCTCTGACTCATCATAAAAACAGAACCCACCGTAGTGTATCTCAGGACTCTTCCCAGGCAGTCCTTCTGGCTGGTCCTTGTCTGGCATCCAGCATGCTTGGTTGAAGTACCTTACAAATATCTCCATGTGCCTCTCCCAGAAAGGAATCTCCCCTCACCCTGTCTCATGTCAATGGGGCCCATTGAGGTGTCTTTGCTGAGCAGGGAGGCCATATAACCATTTAGCCTCACTATTGGTCAGACAGAACAGGCTGTCTGGCCACCTAACACAGAGCCATCATCCCTTTGCCCTTCGTATCATCGTGCCTTCCATAGGGCTTAAAAGTCACTAAACCCAAAGGCTTTTTTCACATCCTGAAGTTTATTCACTGTGGACCAGGCACAGGCTAGGCTGCCTATTTACAGATGACTTCCTATGAGCCAAAACCAGTGGAAGGTGCTAGATCAGAAAATACTGTGTTGGGAGGGATGCTGGTGGCTCAGCAGCAGCTGAAGGTGCCATTGGTTGGTAGCACTAGGGACCAATATGTCACATAGGCCTGTAGCAACTGTCTAGCCTCAGAAAAAGGACAGGCTGGAGCTTGGAAGGTCTTTGGGTGATGCAACCCAAAACATGTCAAAAGCCAGTTGCTATCCAAGTCTTACCTCTGGCAATGGTGAGGACATACCTGTGTTTCCCCTAGTCACACTTGACAGGGTACATGGGGTAGGGGAGCCACTAAAATAGGCTTGAGTGTCAGACACAGAACAGTCCACTGATCCCCACAACCCTAAGGTCTCTACCTGAAGGGAGTGGAGCTGATGTCTCCAGACAAGATGAGTTGTTAAGGGATATTGGGGAGCCTTCCTTTTTGTCTCAAAAGGGTCCAAAGGTTCACCCCAGTCCCAGCCATAGAGGAGGAGACAAAAAGACAGCAACTGACTCCTGTTATTCCAAACTGCTTTTTCAACGCCTCCCCTATCCACTTATCTCCAGTCAGGCGAGCCTAGAGGAAGACAGAAAGAAAAAGAGCCAGGATGAGCCCGGAAAAGTGGACCAAACATGTGGGAAATTGGAGCCAGAGAAGAGCAACTCAGAGGCCAGCGCCTCAGAACAGGATGGTGCCCAAAAAGGAAGACACACCTCAGTGGCCGAGGTCAGGCTGGCCTCGGGCAGCTCTTCTCGTTCTGTCCTCCTGCCTGGTGTCCCCTGTACTAACTAATTGGTATATTCTTTGACTTATAGGAGCAAGAGCCAGAATCCATGAAGCTGAATAACCTTCTAGAAAAACAGGCAAGCACTTCTTATTTAAGCCACAGGAATTAAGATGTGCAAGTCTGTCCGTGTGCAATTCCCAGTGGGCTAGGTAGACTTGGAGTCCTTAAAGCCATCTGAGCAGGTGCTGCACTGTTCAAACGGTCTAGAAGGGGGTTCAGGGATCAAGCTCTGGGCCTCTTTGCCTGATCCTGCAGCATCCTGCCCTCACTGGCCAAACAATGAAGCCACTAAAGGTGTGGCTCTTGAGATTTCCCTTTGCGATTGAACTTAACCTAGAACAATCCCCACCTCCAAAGCCCCCCACCCAGGTGTGCTGACCAAAGGTACACCTGACCTTGGTCACTGAGGTACATCTGTGCAAGCATTATACTGAATTAAGAATTTCACAGTGACCTTCATGGAGGAAGAAAGCTTTATTGTCCTCCCCAAACCATGTTATTGGGAATGGTTACAATGGGACACATTTTCACCAGGACTTAATAGCATGTAGTCCTTGGTAAAGTTCTGGGCCAGCCAAAGTATCAAACAGAGACCTAGTTGGCATTCTCTGAGCTGGCCCACCTTATAGAATAGATCTCGTTTTAGTGAACTTGGCTCTAGGCAAATGTGTGAAGGTGAGCCACATGCTCCCAGTAGATTAGAGCTTGGCAGGGATCCCCAGATCTCCACAGTGCCTTGTCACCTGAAGGCCATATCACCCTAAGTGGAGGATGAAGAAACTCTTAGGATCTCAAGAATATGTTTCCACTTAGTAGGAATGGGTCAGAAGGGCACGTGCGTCCTCTCTGGCCCAGAGCTAACCTTCCAGACACTGCTGTCTGTGCTGCCATGGGGCCTCCAAACTTCTCAGGGGCCCTCTGCCATCATCAGAACCTGGTGGTACCACCCAGACCTAGATGTCTACGAGACAGAACCTTGCAGTTCCTTCCAGGCTCACTCATAAATTATTGCTTCCATTCGTAGAAACCGTCTGTGTTTGTGGAGATCGACCTGGGAGACCATACTGAGGAGGAGGTACAGCAAAAACCCTCCAGACCAGAGTCCAAACACTGTGTGGGGGGCACATAACAGACACATGAAGGGGGAGGTAGAGACCCAAGGCCAGAAGTTCCAGGGACCCTCCATGGTGCTAGTGTTAAAGACAGACTGTGGGAGCAGAAGGAAAACACCTGTGTCCCCTCCCTCAGCACAAACCTGGGTCCTTGGGTACCCAGAGCTTATGAGGGAACCTCAGAAGGAGGCTGAGAAAATGGGTGATACATGGCTTTGTCAAGAACTGCTCAAAATATTCATGAACCTCTTGTGTTCGAGTTGTTCCCATCATGGAATGGAAACCACATAGCCGCATCTCAAGGATGTTTCCTAAAGCTCCCAAAACAGTGACCTTGGTATTAAGTGTCACCATTATTCACAACCTGTTATCGTCACCATCTCCCACAGGACCACCACCCAGTATCACTGCCATCATTACCATCAACATTATCACAATGGTAACAACCATTGCTGCTGTGGTTACCACTATCACATTCATATTTTTACCCTCGATATCATTGTCACCACCATTGTCACATCACCATCAGTGTCCCCAAGATCATCACCAGTATCACTGCCATCATTATCAATATCACCACCACATAATCACCATCGTTGTCGTCATCACCATCACCATCGCCATCCATAAAACGATGAGATTTTTCTCAGCGACTCAATGACGTAGTTATTTAGCATCTCCCTCCAGTTCTCTGCTGTAATGAGCAGATGTCTTTTTGGATGACTCCTGAAGTTCTCGGTTGACAAGTTTAAGGAGTACCTGAGGGTTGGCTACTTTTCAGATTACACCTGTTATACCTTTAGCTTCTGAATCACACTGTATGGTAAAGACTGGTTATTCATGGGGCTCCAAGTTCTAAGAAATGTCAGCCAATAGCACAAGTAGACCAAGGGGGCAGTTCTCTCCATCTGTAGCCCAGGAGCCATGGAGGCTCATACAAGAAGCCAGAGACCCTTGTTGGGCATTCCCACTCAACAGAGTACTGTCTGGAATGAGGACATTCAGGGCCACAGTGGACTGGCTTTCTCTGTCCCTATCTGTTCCTTGGGTGGATCCCATAGGTTGTTCTGCCATCTCCCACAGGTAGTCACCTGTGCCGTGAGAGAAGAGAAGAGGCCCCCACTGGATACAGGGGACTTGTCAGAGGATGAGTGAGTATTGCTTAGGGGATAACTTAGATGGGGATGCTTATCAGAGGGCCACAGACCCCCATGGTGGCAGCACTGTCCTCCTGCCATTCCTTCACCTCTGAGCCATGCATAAGCCAAGTGATTATTCAGATCAGAGGGGCCAAGGAACAAGCAACAATATGTTAAATGTTCTCAGAGCATGGAACCAATTTACCAGGTGCCACATCTCACTCCACCACCAAACCACATCTCCTCATCCCATCAGCCAGCAAAGTGACCAAGAAGCAGAAGGTAAAGATACGGTGTCAGGGTCTCCAGTTGGAGTTTAGCTACAGAGAGTAGTTTGGGAAGGCCCTGCATACATGGATGCCATCAGGGTGAGCTAGCCTCTCATAGCTGGGTTTAGCCCTTCAGGGTTTTGTATGCTAAACCTAAGACCCATGCCCCTGGGTGGACAAGCAAAGCCTCAAGGCTTCCTGAGGTTCAGAAGCATGAGCCACAAAGGAGGGTATCAGGATCCAGGCAGACACTTGCCTCTGGCCCGTGGATCTAGTTTACTTCATTTCTGACAATACAGGGAAATACAGAGAACACGATATCAGTTATTAAACTCCTATCCCCTCAGAATAGGGGTCTTTGTTAGTATTTTGGCTTATTTACTATTTACTTTCAAGATAAAATTTACCTATTGGATTTGTAAAACTGGCATGTGGTCTTCAAGGAACTCACACCATTTGGAGTAGCACAGAAAAAAGGGGAGTTTTAGAATTACCCCTAAGCCTACCTTATAGACCCAGGACTCTGCTAGGCTGCACGACCCTTGATGTCACACTCAGACATAAGGTGAGTTTGTGTGGGGTGGTGGGTGCCCTCTGGATCATAATCCACCCACAGGCACTGCTCCTTGATCACACTCCACTTAGCTCTCTATTTGGTGGGCAGTTGGAGAATTATTGTCACGGTGACTGCCACCTTTGCTTCAAGCTTCTCTCTTGGGGGAAGGAATTCAGTGACATTCTGTTCATCCTCACCGGGACATTCTGACTGCCCTCCATGTGACCAGGCCATGACAGGTGACCATATCAAGTTTTACCAAGCTATCAGGGACTTCTGTCACACTCCCTAGTCCAGACTTGACAGAGGCGAGTCTTTTCAAAATGATTCCTTTTCTCACTGGCTCTTGGATGGATTTAACCACAGGCAAAGGGCTGGTTGGCTTTACTCTTTATCATGAGAGATAGACAGTTAAATCTGTTGTCTGGGTCTGGGCTTCAATTCCTAATGCTCACTACCCTAGGTAGGGTAGGTGGCAACATAGCCCTGAGAGCTGCAGTAAGTTGGTACAGACAAGGGTCTTCCATGTAACCTGATCAGGACAGGGGACACTCTGCACCTCTCACCTTGGTAATTTCCAATGTTAGCCCAGGACCCCCCCCCCGTGGGTCAACCATGCACAACAGCCCCATTGCTTCCCACTTGGGTAACTTTGGTCATGAACTGGGAGGTTGCCTCCACTGTACAGTGGGAGCCACCACATCCTATGAGAAGAGCATACATGAAGGTTACCTTTCTCTACCTCCAGGCTTTGCTGCCTGAAGGGAGACTAGGTTCAACGTGTCTCTTGTATTTCAAGAGTCCCTCTAGCCAGAATAAGAGACCTGGGTACCTGAAGGGCAAGACTAAGCAGTGAGCTTTGGAATCTGGTCTGGAAGAGAGATGAGCTGGCTGGGGGAGAGCCCTGCTTTCCCAGGTGTCTGTGGAGTGGGAGCAGTGGGGTTTGAGAGAGTGGGGTGGGGGCTGTGGTCCAGGAGGCTGGTATGTTACAGGGCAGGGGGTTCACTCTTACTCCCTCGTGTTCTTGGCGTCCAGAACAAGGACCAGCTGGATGTGCTGCATCCCGTATTCCACGAAGAAGAAGGTGAAGGAAACTGCCAATGCATTGGAGAAGGTACTCAAGCCCGGGAGGGCAGTGAAGGATGGGACACTGAGCAGCTAGGAACACAGACATGGTGTGCTCACTCCAGAGCCCCTCTGACCAGTTCCCCCGGGTTTCCATTTCCATCTCACAAGGTTAGCCATCTTTGGGAGAAAGATGGTGATGCTATGATGTAAAGACTCCCTAGTCTGCTATAGCCTGAGAATGCCCAGGGAGGGGTCATAAACACCACCCAGGTGTGCAACCTGGCCACCAGAAACATGAAGATAAGGTGTTTGTAGATCATGTTCTTCCTCCATGGGATGTGGACAGAGGCACAAAGATGGCTATGTCTTCCATAGCCACCTGTCAGTAATGGTGGGTGATGCAGCCCAGAAACATTTAGAGTCTGGAATTTACTTTCTGGGGAGGCCATTGTCCTGGTAGAGAGAGCAGGAAGACCCACCCATTAATTTCTATTTAGAACCTAGCTGAAAAGGCAAGCCTTCCCCATTGCAAGCAAATGGGCTCAGATAGTCCTCCCAGTGGGTCTATATAGTAAAGCGAGTCAATCCTTTGGGCCTGCTATGTGGTCCCATTCTCCAGCTGCCACTAGAAAGGTACACAGAGAAGCTGGGAGGTGGTGGTGCATGCCTTTAATTCCAGTACTTGGGAAGCAGAGGCAGGCAGATCTCTGTGAGTTTGAGGCCAGCCTGATCTACAAAGCTACACAGAGAAACCCTGTCTTAAAAAACCAAACAAAAAACAAACAAAAGAAAGAAAGGTATGCAGAGACACTCAGGATAAACAGCTAGCTGGCACCTTTGCCATGGTGGAAAGAAGAGGCCCCAGTCATGGATCCTTACCACAGGGGGCTCTTACCACAGAGCAGGCATCAGCGTGGGTCTGTCTACCTGTCCATCCATTGTTGCATTCTGTCCACATGTCATGGGTGATAAAGACACTTAACCACTCACTGCAGGGTCTTTCTTGTTCCTGCTTCAGGTGGCCAGAGGCTGCTGAAGGACCCCTATCTTTACGATCCAGCACAGCCACTGGCTCCTCAGCTCCAAGTGATGCTGGAATTCAGGGATGCTGACAGCCTAGTTTCTAGGGTTCCACCTCCCTCTGCCTTGTGGTTCCCAGGAGCCCCAGTGACTCAGACCCCAGGGATCCCATCTTCCTCGGGCCTCATCTTCCCAACCAGGCACTGACTGACACAGGCTTGGCTTTATTAAAAGCATTAGTCGTCTCAGGACAGGACCCCTCTGACTCAGCCACTAGTAGAACTCTCTGGGAACTAAGGGAAGATAGTCCAGGCCTGGAACAGCTTCATGATCCCCACTCCATGGGCAGGGCCAGAGTGACAGCAGCCAATGGAGACCCAAGGCAGGGACCCTCCTTCAACCCAAGACCAATCACAGGTAAGGCAGAAAATGGCAGTGAACTCATTGCCTCCCAGTGGGTGGTCACAGCAGAGGGAGGGTACATGGACCTCTACTCAGGTCAGGGGTAAACTGTGTTACAAGTTGGGGTCATGTTGTCCCTGAGTTTATAAAACTCTTAAGTTATCACTATATCACAGGCATGGTCACTTAATAACCATTTTCAGGTGCCACCCAGTACCAGAGACAGGGAAGCACATGGACCAAGTCCATGCCCCCATGGACCCTGCCTGTAGTTGGACAGACAATAACTCTTGATACTTCTTAGTTTAGCCACAAAGAGTTTAATAAAAATTAGTCTTTTGGTAAATATTAGTCAAGTTACTAAAGACATGAAGACAGGAGACTGAACCGTGGGGTTGGGTGGGAGGTAGAGGATGTTGGGGAAGGCACCCTGTTAGCTGCTGCTCTGGGTCAGTCTCTCCCATCACCGCTGCAGAGCGTGCTTCTGCAGCCTGCCAACTTTCCCTCACTTCCCCCTGTCTTCCACCCACACTGCTGCTGCCCCTTTAGGTTTATCTGTGCAAACGCCAGGACTAGGACTTTAGCCTGTCTGATGGCGCCCCCTGGTGACTCGGGTTCTCCGTCTTCGCTTTCAGTCCTAGGAACCAACTATTCAGGACCAATGGGCAGGCCACCTCATCACTGTCACAGAACTTAAACTCCAGCTAATTGTGCACTAAAGGAAACAACACAATGTGAACACATCGCTGGAGTTAGTGTCGTACATAGACAACCTCCAGGCCTCAGCTGCAGAGGAGAGAGGCAAAGGTGACCCCTGAATGGCCCTCCCTGCACCCATATCCTTGCACCCCCAGTCCCTGGGCCACAGCCTTCCTTAGTACCTCTCTACCTGGAAGCCTGATTCCCTAAGGATGGTTGGGGTGTGAACTCCCCAATCATCTTCCCATGTGACCCCACAACACACAAAACAAAGCAAAAACAATTCCTCAAACATGTTCATCTGAGGCCCTGAGTACCTGGACTCCTCAAGGACATGGTAGACATGGTGAGTCCATTGAAGATGGGGTTTCTGGAGTTGTGTGGTCACTAGGAGGTATGGGGATGCGTGTGGGGAGGTCTACAGCCTCCTTCCCAGAACAGGATTCTACTGGACTTGTGATTGACAGCGGCCCAGTATGTGTACAGAGCATAGACCCCAAGCTGGGATGGGGAGGACCAGGGGAAGTGGTGATTCAAGGGTGGTCTGTGGGGTTCTTGTGGGATTCAGGCTCATATCTGAAAGGTTTGCTAAGAAGTTGGTTGGAAGAGTCGTTGGTGCATGTAGAGACAGGGACAACAGGCCCAAATGCCATACTTAGTCGGGTAGGCATGCCGGTGGCTCTACTAGGCACCGAAGCCCATGAGGCAGAGTGGGGGTGGGCCTCCTCTTACAGTATCAGTGGGATGGGGAGGTTCTATGTTCTTACTTCCAAGTGAGAGGCTGGGGCAGTGGAGGAGGGCCTTGCATTGCCAGGAAAGCGTGCAACTTGAAGGGTGTGAGCTGTGCCTATTATAGTCCTGATGTCTTGGAGCCTGGCAACCTGTGGGCTTCCTTGGGAAAGTAAAGATGGGTCATTCTCCTGGACAGTTTGTTAGAAGGTCAGATATTCCCTGACAGGTTTTGAGTGGGCAGTGTGGGCCCCAAAGTGGTCTGAATTCTGACAATATTCTCGGTGTCTTCCCTGTGTAAGCTCGGCTTTGGGGGCACATTTTCAGAGCTCATGCACTGTGCACACAGCTGACAAAAGTGACCTATGTTTTCACAACCTTCCCCAGGGGTGGGAAAATGCTCTGCAAGGTCAGGGAGGTTGAAGGCTGTCTCAGTGAAGGAACTCCTGGTTTCAGCCATCTTGTTTGGTTCTGACACAGCTTAAGGCATCTTAAAGGATGACCCTGGCTTTACAGATGGGGACCCTGAGGTACAGGGCACAGGCAGGAAGCTGAGGCAGAGCCCAGAGGCTGAGCAGCACTGGGGTGGGGCACATATCCTCATGGGCTACCCACAGGCTTGCTCCACCCCTTCTCCCAGGCTGATGACCTCTCACTTCAGCTCTGGTCCCTCTCATTACCATCCAGCCCTGTGGAAGGACCTGCCCCTGCTCTCGGTGCCCATGGTGGGGAAGACTTCATTCTCCAAGGGCCTCTTATCTCTCAAAGACCCCCAGCCCACCATAGTACCCCCTTCTGATCCAAGACCTCTGTTCCCCCAAGGAGTCCTCATCTACTCCACCATTTCGTTTTTCCAGGAGCAGCAGTCATGGCCATCAGATTCTTATCTGTGGCCTCAGCTAGACTGAGGCTAAAGAGTGAGGCTCAGCACAGCACCAGGGCTATACAGGGTGGACAAGAAGGCATAAGCCGCTGGGCAAGCACAGAGTGCACAAGGCCAAAGTCAACTCCCTCATCCCAAGATGGTTCCATAACTATGAACTCAGCCTTCCGCCTTCCAGTTTCTCACCCTAGCCCTGGTTAGGAGGTAGTTTAGGAGCAAAGTTCCCTGCAGTCCTGTGCCTGTCACTGGGAAAGAGAGGGGAGCAAACCACAGGAAAAGTCCCCAGTCAGCAGCTCTGCAGAACCAGGTTGTAGTGCAGGCCCAGGCATGCTGGGACATGCCTGAAGCCCTCCCTAAGCTCCCCTATCTACAAGCCAGCCTAACCCGCCTCCCACTCAGGTCCCCTGAGGACTGGCTGGCAAGGAAGACTGTGACATCCTCCTGAGTCTGCTGCCAAGTTTGCTGCCTGAGGTGGGAACAGTCGCAGATTCCAGGAACCAGCAGGGGATCTGGCATGCTAGGTAGACCTGGAAAGGACAGGGGCTGGAGGAAGCCAGAGCCCCAGAATTCACCGCTCACTGAGGGACATGACCTTGCAGGCTGCCCTGTTAGCCTGACTCAGCAAATGCTTGGCATGGCTCATGGTTTTCCAAGTAATTGGGAGAAAGTAATTTCCATTCTAGATTTGGAGGGGTGTCTCTCACAGCTGGTTTGTAAAATGCAGACCCCTCAACCTGCAGCTCAGACACCCATGACTTCAGAGCCACTCATGCCTCTGACAGGGAAACACCTTGGTTAAGTCTGCAGCCAAGGATATAATTAATGTCATAGGCCCAACATCCATTGACATGATGGACACAGGGAGCAGGGTCATCAGATAGGGATGTCACTCCATGCATGGCCTTGGGGGTCAAGAGGTACTAGGTTCCTCCTTGGTCTACAGTTTCCTGTGGCTGAAGAACATGCCTGGGGCATGCCTGAAGCCCAGCAGCTGAGACTCTAGGTGGCACTATCCTCCAGGGAGGAAAGAGGTTCCCCTGAACTCACTTGTCATGAGCGTGCTACATCAGGAACACAGGGAAAGGTGTCTGTTTGAGGATTCAAGGGGGGCACTGACACAGAATGTTCTTTTGGGCAAGAAGTTTATGAGAATTAACACAATGGACATACAGAAGGACCTCTAAGGAAGGTTCAGGCCCCAATTTTCATAGATAGGCGGATAGCATGGCAGGGACTCTGAGGAGAGTCGTGGTGGCAGGGCCCCTTCGTATAGGTGTTATAGGAAAGGGGGGGGAGATTTCTAGCACAAGCCCAAAGCTAGTCTGTCCCTGACTCTCGAGTGGCAGGTGGGAAATAGGTGTAGGATGTGTGGGCTCAGGAAATTTTGTGGTGTCCCCGAGAAGTCTGAAAGCTTCCTTGGAAAGTAAGAACAGTACTTACCATCTCTGGACTCTGGATACCCGAGGAATGTGTTTACAAATCACTGGCCGCCCTTGGGTGTCTGTCCCTCCCTGTAGCAGTGGAACCCCAGGATCCACTGTGAGAGTGGAGAGAGGTCCACAGGTGGGCTTGAGAAGCATCTGGTCTGGGATTCTGACACACTGATAGACATG